ATAAATTGATAGCAAAGGTGGTGAAAATAGCTTTTAATTTACAAAACGTGTACATCTCAACGCCTTCATCCCGCCGTGGAAGCCTTTTACTAAAGTAGGAAGAAGAAGAAGGAGAGGAAACAGGATTAGGGTAATGAAAGGCTGAGAAAAAACTGCTTCTGTCACTTCTTCTTTCCTCCCATTTTTCTTCTCTCTATTATCCCTCCTCTTCTCCGTATCTTTTTTCTTCTCCGTTTTATTACATCTCCTCCTCTTCGTCCCTTTTTTGGTCCTCTCCTTCATGCTGTCTTTCTTCTTATTCTTCATTTCTTTCTTTTTTCCTCTTCTTCTTTCCATGATATCTCCTCTTCTTTCTTTGTTTATCATTCCTCGTCCTCCTACCCCTCTATCTTTATCTTCCTCTATATCTTCTTTCTCCACCTTCTCCTCTTCTCTCTCCTTTGCTTCTTTTTCTTCCGATATCTAATGCGCTCCCATCTGACGTTTTTCTAGTCTAAAAGCAAAACCAAGTATCTCCATTTGCGACATTACAAACTTCCCGTCATACTTTATTTATTCTTTAGCAAACTGGTTTGGGTAATCTCTTGACAAGTTCCTTGATTTTTCTCAGCAGTCAGCAGAATATTCTGTATCAATTTCAAGCTAAGAATGGACCAATTGACAAGGCACTAATGTAAGTATTCTGATTCACTTTTCTTAATCAAGATTTCACGTAAAACACGAATCTTGCATCAAAAATTACTGAAATCAACTTCTGAATAAGATATTAACGTTTTTATTTTACATTGGTCACGGGAAATTTGAATTGCCCGGTCACAAGAAACGCAATTCTCTACATGAGTCAAATCGCGCCTTCCAATGGTTTTGGCAGGCTTCTCAATTAGGCATTGCTTCTCACCTACCTTTTATTGTTCGAAGCGTTAACAATTTGCTATAGTTGAACCAAAGTGTCAAGATTGAAGTTTCCATATTTCTGTATTGCAGAGACTGCCACGGTATTGTTTAGTGTGCGATTTGATTCACGTAGACAATCGAGTTTTCATGAGAAGGAGGTTTGAATTCACGCACCAAGAAACATTAAATATCTCTGAGAGGAAATCATTTTAGTAATTTTCGTCGAGCAAATCGTTTTTTACGTGAAATTTTGGTTAAGAAACATGTATCAGAATGTCTTACATCGTACCTCGTGTAGTGGTCAATTTGGTTTGATTCTTTTCGCAAAAATGAAATAGGAAGGAGAATTTTGAAACACCCAAACAGAGATATGTGATTTCGCACATTGACCATCGATACCCCAGGAGTCCGTCCTGCAAGCTTTAAACATGCGGTCTAATTTTCATTGAATCCGGCATCGACGTGGCAGGAGCTTAAAAAGTGACCCAGAAATGTTAAGTAGGCAAAATGAATGGGCTTGAGCGTGGCGTCGCACTGGGCCGCAGTGCGAACGCTCGCGCCCGAACGGGGCATTTTAATATTTCCCGCCGTCAAGCAGTCGGATTCCCGAATGAGGCCTGCCCAAAAATTGCCATATGTTTTTACTTTTCACCACTGACGAGTGCCAACTACACTTTTTTCCGCAAAACTTGGCAACCCCAGCTGATTCTCGGAACAGAGGCGTGCTCCAGCCGAGAGGAGAAACCAACTCGGGGAGGGGCTCCTCTTGCTGAGAGGTTTAAAAATGTCAAGCCTTCCTTATTCACTCTAGAACTATGCCATGGGTAAACTGCTTCGTCGAGTAACCGCAGTCTTCCCTCTCATTCGGAGCATCGAAAGTTATTCATGCAAATGGAGAATTTGCAGGTGTCTGAAATTCGGTGAATGTTGTGTTTCAGACAAAACCACTAACAGAACTAACTGGGTGTCTATACAAGTCCGGAATTTCCGGAAAGTCTGGAAATAGTACTGATTTTTGAACGGTGGGCCGGAAGTACCGAAAAAGTACGGAAATTCCGCAAAGTCTGGAAACTTTGTCATTTTTGTCGCAATTTGAGCGAGAAATTCAAATTTATAAGTTTGTCGAATTTCGTCTAATGAAGGTACTGAAAAAAGTACTGAATTTTTCTTTTGAGGAGGCACTGAATTTCTTGGGAATGTGCAGAAAAAGTACCGTAAAAGCACTGAATTTCGGCCATCCGGTTTTAGTAGAAACCCTGACTAAGCACGAGAATTCCTTGATTTCTAAATTGAACAATTATTGGGGGGAGACATGACAAAACAACTGAATCTGGTGAAATACACGTGTTTAAATGGAAAGTGCCGCCAGATGACGTCACAAGGCGGTACATTTTCTCACTTTTAATTCTCTTCATATACAATTTGCCATTACAGGACAATATTATGAAAAACACTACGAAATCAGCTCATTGAGCACTCTCAGATGAATCAATGAACATTTTTCGTGCAAATGCTCCAATGTGTGTAACCGCTCTGTGAGGAAGGAGTCCAGTTTACAACGGTGAAAAGTGGTCTTTTTTTTGGTTGCGCCAACTTAAATACTCCTTGCGTCATGGAGACGATACAGTACACCGAGAAATTTTGAATGTGAGAACAGAAGTTCATGTGTGGCCATCAAATTTATTTAGTCCTAGAATATTTTCATTACGACATGGATACCTCCGTCGTAAACATCGAAAATTTCCCCCAAAATCTTTGCGTAATATTACTTTCATACATTTCTATCACTGATATTTCCGCAAATTGCACTATTTGGCAACGCTGGTAGTAACAGGGGATGTAGTTAGTATATATATTTTAATATGCTAATTAATATATTTATCGAATAAAGATGTATGATACACATAATTCCATTTAAATTATGTGAGAAGATCAGAAATAACGCAAAAATAACCAATTGATAAACCAAGGCATAACGCAATTGTTTATTTAATTTAATGGGCCTGTTTAGGCCCATTTTATTTAATCCGCGTGTTTTCGTTTAGAGAGATGTTTGAGTTGTCATTTCTTTATGCAACGACGGCATGTGAATACGATGGCGTCATACCTGCCTATATCATAAGCGAGACAAAGTGGAAGCGCATCACACATTCAGGATTGGGGCGCCTTCAATTCGAGCGATACTTCCAACTTTGCCGGAGAGTTAGTTTAGTTGCGTGACCTAACCTAACCCAACCTGACTTAGTCGAGATCAGTTTCTGAGCTCTGTGCGTGACCGATCAGAATCATAAAACTCGGGCATATTTAATTACCTCAGACACAAAATTTGTGCCAACGTCCCGAGATTACTTTTAATTTTTTATTTTTTATAAGGAAACTCATCAAATGTGTTTCTCTCGAAGTTCTTTGTGAATTTTTGTCACCATGGATAAGCTTGGTAGGTAAATGCTATCTCGGCTCCTGTTCGATCGATTAATGTGAAACTCGATTTCGGGGGGTATTTTTCAACGGGAAACTCGAATTTTCTGCCGAACTTTAAAAAATCAAAGATGATCTACGTGGCCTAAATTGCTACACTGACTTTTTCCTAAAGAGTCTATCCTTGCAATAAGATATGCATTTATTTTACATTCGTTTTCAAAATAAATTTACCTTCAGCTCTGATATGGGCGCGCATTTGAACAGTGATGTGTTGAAACCAAGTATCTTTTTTCGTTTAGTTCTTTTTTTCTTATTAGATTATTTCTCTTTTTATTAGGTACTTCAAAATTTTTTCATTGATTTCTCTAATTAAGCGAAACAAATTGAAAGCGCATCTCGAATTCAGGAAATTGGGGCGCCTTCAATTCGAGTGATACCTCCAGCTTTGCCGGAGAGTTAGTTTAGTTGCGTGACCTAACTTAACCCAACCTGTCCCTGTTGCGATCGGTTCCCGAGCTTTGTCACCAATCAGAATCGTGAAACTCGGGCCTATTCAATTACCGCAAAGACAACATTTCATTAAGAATTCGTAAATCAAGATAATTCAACGGTTGTGTATAGTTGCCATCGTCTTTGTTTTCCTAAAAATCTGACCGTAATAGCACCGTATCAGCCTGTTTTTCGCGACCAGTGAAAAAGGGGCACACCAATGGCCACTTTTTCCCTACGTAGATATACTCAAACGTGTTCAGCGTGATATTTTTTTGAAAGAACAAATCAAAGGTCTAAGTCTGCAACCACGTATATCTCGTTTGCTGTGTTTGAAAATCTCTGCTCCTTCATTATTTCTTTAAATGAGAGCAAATCGACATCATTCCTTGAATTTTTTGCAGAATTTCCTTGGCACGGAGAAGAAAAATCACTGCAGTTTTCAAGCATTAGCTTTTCGTGGTTTTCCATTTAAAAAATGAAGTATGACAGGAAGTCTGCGACGTCGCTAACCGAGATACGTGGTTTGCGGACTTACTCCGTCGAAGTGCTGCATTGCTTAATGGAACCCCAGACAGGGCACAAATTTCAGCATTCTGATACAATAGTGCTAACCAAAATTGCACGTAAAACACGATGCGCACAACGGAAAATACCGAAATCGACTCCCTATGAAGATATTTAATGATTGTTGATGCGTGAATTCAAACCACCCGCTCATGAAAATTCAATGCTCTACGTGACTCACATAGCGCGCTAAACATTGTCATGATAGTCTCTGCGATATAAAAATCTGGCAGCCTCAATCTTGACGCTTTGACTCAGCTATAGCAAGTTGCTTATAGTTTGAACAACACATGGTAGGAAATGAACATTGCTCGATTGAGAAGTTTGATGAAACCGTTGTAATGCACGATTTGACTCACGTAGAGCTTTGAGTTTCTTGTGAGCGGGCAGTTCAAGTTCCTCGTAACCAATGTGAGATAATAACGTTAATATCTTCGTAAGAAATTGGTTTCAGTAATTTTCGTTGCGCGAATCGTGTTCTACGTGAAATTCTGGCTAAGAAACATGTATCATCAGAATGCTTAAATTCGTACCTTGTCTAGTGGTCTATTCCTTACCTTGTCTAGTGGTACATTTTTGGCATTGTTTTCTTATTTGATTTAGCTAAAATGAAGTTGTCTCTGTTACAGAAGACGGGATGTGACCTATGACGGGATGTCATATCGGATTTGGGCAGGCGGGGGTTGGGTAGAGGCGGGGCGCGTCATCGGGCTGCTGAGTCTGCTCATGAGCGTCACGCTGTTCCTGGCACTCCACGCGGCCCTCTACGAGAGCGCCATGTACCAGGTTCAGGTTTCGGCCGGACCCCCCGCCGCCCCAGCCCCCGCCCAAGCCCCCCTCCCCTTCGAGATGCCCAGCGCAGACGTCCAGGAGTACCGCTTTCCCGCACACCACAGGCTTCGCTTTCCCAAAGCCAGCAGACGGCTACCACAGGTCAGACAATCAGACATCCTCCGCAAATAACTTCATCACACATTCGGGATTGGGGCGCCTTCAATTCGAGTGATACTTCCAGCTTTGCCGGAGAGTTAGTTTAGTTGCGTGACCCAACTTAACCCAACGTGACTCAGTTGCGATCGGTGCCCGAGCTTTGTGACCGATCAGAATAATTTGTCACACATCCAGGATCGGGCGCCTTCAATTCAAGTGATACTTCCAGCATTGCCGGAGAATTAGTTTATTTGCGTGACCCAACTTAACCCAACGTGACTCAGTTGCGATCAGTTCCCGAGCTTTGTGACCGATCAGAATAATTTATCACGCATTCAGCAGGAGTGGGCGCCTTCAATTCGAGTGATACTTCCAGCTTTGCTGGAGAGTTAGTTTAGTTGCATGACCCAACTTAACCCAACCTGACTCATTTGCGATCGGTTCCCGAGTTTTGTGACCGATCAGAATCATAAAACTCGGGCATCTTCAGTTACCGCAGAGACAAAATTTGTTCCTACGTTCTGGGATTACTTTTTTTTTTTTATTATTTTCCTCGGACAGACATCCTCCGCGAATAACTTACCCCAGAAAAGAAAGATAAAACAAAAAGGAAAACATGTCACCACACGCAAAAGAAAAGATCCCTGCTGTACAATAGCCATAGGTAAAGTCCATGCCTAATAATTTTACGCATTTTGGAGTGCGATAGAGGATCAGCTGGTTTCAGTTTAACATCGGAAGTAAATGCAAGAATCAAAATGGCGGATCCTCTGTCGCACTCTAGAAGTGCGTACACTTATTATTTGGACTACATCTTGCAAAGGGACTACAATTTCTAGTTCACCTGTAAAAACACTCATGTGCGTTGAGAAATTAAGATATATTCGTTGTTTCTAAACCGAGCCAGAAATTTTAGTCCCAAATTGCAAAATGTAACTTATTTGGCGTGGATGCTACCATTCTTTACTGAAAGGCCGTATGATTATCATGCCACTGAAACCTCACAAGCTTCAAAACTAGTCAAGCATCCAGTTCGAAAAAAGTAGCCAAAAACAAAAGCTTAATGTTTGAATTGGACGTATTTCTACCAAACAGACCTATGTGGAGGTGAGTAATTTTGGGGTGTGCTCTAGGAAGCTGCATAAGAAGCAATGTGAAAGTGGGCGTGATTCCTTTTGTAGAATTGGAAAAGCGGGGTATTAGATTCTATCAAACAGACCTATGTGCCAACTGAATGCGGAACTCATGAGCCGCGAGCATGGCAAGACAGCCTTGTGCACAGGGCTCATGAGTTAAGGGCTCACTCTAGCGATCTCCCCGTCGTATCGGCGCTCGTTCGTTGTCGCTGACGTCACTGGCGCAGAATTATTCTCATTCACTCTTACGCAAAGAGAACCAACGAGCACACCCCATATTTCTCACTTGCACATAGGTCTGTTTGGTAGAAATACGTCCAATTAGTTATGATCTTGGTTCAGAATTTCTGAATTGACGTATTTCTGCAAAACGGAAGTATGTGCGGGAAGGAAAGAAGGGGTGTGCTCCAGAAAGGTACATAAGAAACAGTGTGAAATTGGGCGTGATCCCTGTTGTAAAAATGGAAAAGTGGGATTCTACATTCTTACTGCAGTAATTCTTATGTAAGAATGAATGGGTATTATAAAATGCCGGTGATGTCAGCGGCGACGCCCCGTTACCGAATTATTAACTCAGAGCCCTGTCCACAACGCTCCTGTCACATGTTCATGGCTCATGAGTTAGTATGCAGTTGGCAATGTAAAATCCCGTTTTCCATTTTTACAAAAGGGATCACGCCCACTTTTACATTGTTTCTTACGTAGCTGTCTGGAGCACAGCCCATCTTTTCCACTCGTACATAGTTCCATTCAGCAGAAATCCCTCCGATTTATCTTTGAATCAATGTAAACAAAATCTATCCGCCCGGATATCCGTTGAATCTAGCCGCCAACGCAAGTGAACTTACGGGGATTGCGGCCAGCGGGCCGATTATTGAAATTGATAGACAAAGCTATAGAAAAAGAAGACAAAAGAGTTGAATCATTGAGAACGGAGACACACCAACTAGGTTCCTCGAAAATGCTCTCTTTTCACTCAGGACAGACAATTTTCATAAAGGTCATTGAAGTTACCGTATCTGTTCCAACTTGGACATTTAAAGTTTCCGTAAGTACTTGCTTTTAGGCACCAAAAATCTTTTTCTTCGACTAACTTCTTTACCTAATATGCAGTTTAGTGCGTGTCTTGATTATTTTCAATTTTTCGAGTTGGTGCATGTGCTTTCGTTCTCACTGATTCAGCTATGGAGGGATCCTATTGGTGGAGGCGGATGGTTGCAATGGACAAAGGACGTAGGTAATAGACGAAGTAACGGCAACCCACGAGAGACCCGACAGTTTGACTGCATTTTGCAATTTGGAACTATAAATTCTGGCTCTTCTAGAAAAACACTTATGTGCATAGGGAAACTAATGGCACATACGTTGTTTTAAACCGGGCCAGAATTTATAGTTCCAAATTGCAAAATGTAGTCCAGTTAGTTCATCATTAAACCCCCCCCCCCCTTAGCCATAAGAATCACTCATTTCAACCAATAGGATCTCTCTATACTCCTTATGTCTTCTTTGTCTATAGCTTTGTCTAGAGTCTCTTTATACTGAGAGTCAAGACAACACCCCTCATGGAGTCACAAACGGGAATAAAGATTACAGAAATTGAACGTTCTTTGTAATCTTTGATCGGTCCATTCTTAAATTCCTTTCTCCGTTCCTTCTCTCGTTCCGTTTGTTCCTTGCCGAACCCGTAATTCCCTGGTCCATTCCAGATTATAATCTTTGCAATCGGTAAAAATGTAATCTTTATTCCCGTTTATGACACTGTGAAGGCCTAAAATACGGGAACCAATCAGGAATGGATTCCCATTGTCTTGACTCTCAGTATAAAGGGACTCTAGCTTTGTCTATCAATTTCAGTAATCGGCCCGTAGGGGACGTGACCTCCTAAATGGAAGATGTGTGACACCTTCGGGAATTGGTTCGTTTCAGGCGATCATCATCGGGGTTCGAAAATGCGGGACGCGGGCGCTGCTGGAGATGCTGTTCCTGCACCCGCGAATCCAGAAGGCGGCCGGCGAGGTTCACTTCTTCGACCGCGACGACAACTACAGCCGCGGCCTCGACTGGTACCGCCGCCGCATGCCCCAGTCCTTCTCCGGACAGATCACCATCGAGAAGAGCCCCAGCTACTTCGTCACTCCGGAGGTGAGCCACCCGACTCCATCATTTCTCCCTTCGGCAGAAACACACTGGGGAAAAAAAAAAAAAAAAAAAAAAAACATTGGATCTAGAGGTCCAGACTCTTGAAAACATTGACAAGAAAAAACTCTCTTGATTCAATCGGATTTTCGCTTAAATCTAAAAGAAATCCGCTTAAATTAAGAGGCTTGGTTCTTGATTTAAGCTAGATTCTGATTGAATCAAGAGTACTTTTCTTTGTCAATGTTTTTAAAAGTCTGGACTCTAGATCCAATGTGTTTTTTTTCCAGTGCATTCTACAAACGGTTTTTTTTTTTTTTTTTAAAGTAGGAGGTACTTATCCAGGGTGTCTACAAGTCCGGAAATAGACTTTTTTTAGATAGATAGATTTGATAAATAGATCAGATTAAATGGATTTTTTAAGGGCGGTCCGGAAGTACTAAAAAAGTGCGGAAATTCCGCAAAAAGGTCCGGATTTTTTTAAAATTAATCGTCATTTTTGTCGCAATTTCAAATTTTTAAAATTTTTCTAATTTCATCAATTGGAGGTACTGAAAAAGCACAGAAGTTTTCTGTTAGAGGAGGTACTGACTTTCTCGAGAATGTACTGTAAAAGTACTTATTTTTGACCGGCCTGTTTTATTAGACACCCTTGAATTTGAAAACAGAGAATTTTGCATAATATTTCGTTGTTATCATCACGAAGAAACGTAACTCCATTCCAATGTTGCCTAATTTTCCCGCGCATATCGACGGTGTAAGTCGGCAATAATTTCACTCGATTTGCGACGTCGCAGACTTCCTGTCATACACTATTTTTTAAACGGCGAGTTACCCAACGGCAATTCTTTAAAACTGCCGTGATTTTTCCTCTGAACGAAGTAAATTATCCCAAAACTTCGAGGGATTATGTCAATTTGTTATCCTTTAAGAAAATAACATAGAGGCGGAGATTTTCAGACACCGCAAACGAGATATGTGATAGCGGACTTACGCCGTCGATATGGCACTTTTATCAGGAGAATTTGGGAATTTCGAATTGAAAATTTCAAAGATTTTTCTACTGATTTCATGCAAAAATCAGATAAATTTTCAATAAAATTGCGCGTGTACATTCTCGTAAAAAATTGAATTGTTGGGGTCAATTTTGTAACCTTGAGATCGAGTTACGTTTGTTCGTCCAGGAAACGATGATCTATGACTAACGATAGGAGATAGTCCTTAGATGAGCCCACTCTATTTAGATTCACTCACGGAGGGACCCACGAGGCGGGTCTCAAAGGGCGCGAAGCATCTCTAAGGGTTCGGCCGCTTAGTGGTCAGGAGCCCCCTAATGTGGGAGTGTGTGTACACTCAGAGAGTATCTAGCATCAGGACTTACCCGACTTCATCAGGATTTGAGGTCAAGCAGGATTTAATCCTGATTTCATCCGAATTTAAGGAAAATTCGGTCGTAAAATCAGGATTTGAGGAAAGTCGGTCGTCCGATTGGATTTTTGTATCGAGCTATTTTTGTGAGGTTACATTCGCCTAATTTTTCTCCGCCAAAAATCAGGATTTGAAAAAATTATAAAATCAGGATTCTGCAGTCAAAAATGAGGAAAAATCAGGATTTTCCAAGATGAAAAAAAACCAGACACCCTGACTCGCCACATCCCATATTATAATCGATGCACGTAAATATCTCAATCCATCGTCTCCCGCAAGAGGGAAAATATGTATTGATTGCACTGTCTCAGTATTTCCTACTCTCATTCTATTTGTTCATAGAAGAACTATCACGCGAATTTCCCTGAAATTTCTAGTGATTTTTCTTTACTCTTGAGAGAGATGCCTTTGAAATTGTTAGCCAATTTCGCACGACGGTTCTCCTTTGAGGAGGTAAAATGCACGTAAAAAATGAAAAGCGTAGACGAGATACGTTCACTCCTGCGGGAGTGGGAGTCGAGTCGACTCACAGTGAATCGAGTCAATGAGAGAGGTTGGATAAAATTTGGAAACTTTAAAAGCTCATAACTCCGTTTACACAAAACTTTGAGGTTTTAAAAGCGATTCCATTGGTTTCCCCGTGAAATTTTCTTTTTCAGAGCACTCCTCAAAATTTAAATTGTGACGAATTGAACGTTAAAAATTGCCGTTTTGGTTAAAAATGTCATGTCCGACCTCTCTAATTGACTCGATCCACTGTGCGACGCGACGGGTCGTCGATTCAAAGGCAATTACACTAGATCATGTTTTTCGTTTCCCGAACCGAAAGAGGAAGGGGTAAAATGAAAGAGGGAAGATAAAAAGTGATAAAAGGAGAAGGAGGATACAGAGAGATAGTAAAATACAGAGGGAAATAAATTGAGATTTTATATTTTATAATTTTTTTATTTAAGAAAATGAGTCAGAAATAAACGTGAGTTGTTGAAATAATCGTGAACAGAAAATTCAAACTTCCTGCTCGTGAAAAAATTAAAATCAACGTAGGTCAAACTAGGCATTGCAATGAGGCTGCACGTTAGACAAATAACTATAGCTTGGTTTCACACGCACTTCCTTGCTCTTCTAATAAAAGGTACCTTTTATCTTGTCCCCCCCCCCCCNAAAAAAAAAAGAGCGCAGGAAAACTCTTCCATCGTAAAATATATACTAAAATTACTCTAGTGCTCAATTCAACTCGAATAGACTCCAGTATTTCAGTGAGCGAGAAGTGGATTGCACATTTTGCAAAAAGGAACCACTAGCATTGCAATGTTGCTAAGATTATGCAACTTCTTTTGTCTTGGAGGAAAACTCCGATTATCCATTAATAGTTTCTATTTTACTCGCTAAAAACTGTAAATTTAAGACAAAAATTACCATCTAAATTTCATAGTTTTTCACGATTTCCGCAATTTTATTGCAAAAGATGAAGTTGCACAATCTTAGCATCATTGCAATGCTAGTGGTTCCTTTTTGCAAAATGCAATCCAACTCTTCCATTGTAAAATATATACCAAAATTACTCTATAGTGCTCAATTCAACTCGAATAGACTCCAGTATTTCAGTGAGCGAGAAGTGTGTGTCAACTTTGATAAAATCCGTTAGTTTCTAGGCCATGAGTTGAATGTGAAAAGTTGTAGTGTGTCAATCGTATTCAACTTAAAATTTCGATAAGGAAACACATGTTGTGACTCTTTAGAAATGCACCATGTATACGGTACGCTCGCAAGCGCGAATTCCCAGCATAAAACTGCGGGAAAGCACTATTCTATTTGATAAAAGTGCCCAAGAATGTAGATTCGCATCTCCGCTGACTTTTAATCGGAACTCCGACACGTCCCCCCGTGGGTTACGCTCCGTGGGTCTCGCGTCGCCTCGTTTCGACTCGCACAGGAACTCTAAATTCAGTCGACCGCCTCAAGTATATTTTCTTGAGCGTCATATAAAAATGCAGTTAGCTCCGAATCGCACCCTCGACGATACTCCAAACAATATAAAGTTCAGACCGCATAACTGAAGATTCATGACGAGATTGTCAAATCTGCATGAAATCCTCTTTACTCTCGGCGCACTCCTTCGCTCTCCAGCGAGAGAAGGCGGACGATTCGAATCCATTCAGTCACCCGTGATTTTAAAACGAAGCTGGAAATGCTGGGGACTGTCGTGGGCTGATCAGTAGAATTGATAGACAAAGGTATAGACAAGAGAGACAAAGAGAAAATGATATATTTTCAAGGTGTCTACGAGTCCGGAATTTCCGGAAAGTCTTGAAATAGTACTGATTTTTGAGAGGCGGTCCGCAAGCACTGAAAAAATACGGAAATTTCGCAAGAAGGTCCGGAATTGTTGTCATTTTTGTCGCAATTTGAGCAAGAAACTCAAATTTTTGAAATTTTTCAAATTTCGTTAATCGTTTTTCGTTCATTGCGCAATGCGTGAAGTATCCCTGTTAGGTTTGTAGGCGTCAATGTGCTTTTGCGCAATGCGTGAAGTATCCCTGTTAGGTTTGTAGGCGCCAGTGCGTCGCCGCTCCGCTTTTGTCAGGCTCTAATATTTCATCTCGCGGAGTCAGCGTTTTTCAACTCATAATTTGAAATGTTTGCACACTCTGTATGGATTATTCTCATTTTAATTGATGAAAAAAAATATGTTTTGAAGGAAAATATAATGTGTGTTTTGTAAATATGAAGGTAGTTCCGTATCAAACTCAATGATTTTCAAAGCACACGAATTTCTACACAATTTCCTATAGCCTTTTATAGCCAATGGCGATAAAGTGTAAAACCCGGCGAAAGGAACTATAGCCCGACTGTATACCTTTTTATAGCTTCGTATAGCCCGGCTATATGATTTTCTCCACTTTCTACAGCCAGCTATATGATTTTCAATAGCCTTCTTTAGTCTGCTTTAAGAACTCCTATGGTATTTAGTTTTCTTTTCCTAGATAATTGATGGACTCTACTGATTCCACGTAATTTTTTTTCTCCGAGTTCGGAACTAGTATTCTCCTATCTTTTTAGACTTTTTGCGAAGTCAATATCCCTCCTTCCTCCGAAAATCATAATTTTCCGGGAAAAATTTTGATTTTCTGTAATACTGGTAAGTCGCAGCCAAAAATACGAAGGATTACTCCTACAGTATGCTTAATAATTCGTGCCCCTCTTTCTAATGACGAAGTTCCTCAAATTCGACGTATTTTCCGTATAAATGACTAATCCGTAAGTTACAATCTTACCGTGTTCTGAACTATCAGAGGTTAGCATCAACATTTACCCTTACAAAATCGTCGTCATTTATTTTTGGAATCTGAGTTTTCATCAGCAAATCAAGGAGGGGGGTGGGGGGGGGGAATAGAGTAATATATTCTCGAAATGAGGAACTCAACAGTGCAACGTGTCCTTCCCTTTCGAATAAGAATGTTTGTGGTATGTTTCAATTTTCTAAAACACGCAAAAAAGTCGAAAAAAGGTCTCTCACTCGAAACAAGCTGTCTCTAGTTTGAGACGTGGTAAAAAAACTAATGTGAATAGACTTATTTCGCTGCGCCATCAGTGGCGTGGCGTGATTTGTGATATATCGATTGTTATGCCTTTTAAACCTATGGAAAAGGATCGATAAACAGGGTGTCCGCAGCGAACACCTTAATAATCGATTCTTTACCATAGGTTTAAATGGCATATCAATCGATACATCGCAATTCACGCCTCGCCACTGTGCGCCATGCGTCACTTCTCCGGAAGGCAACTCCAGCCGTCCTCCGCCGTATACCGACGGTGAAACTACCAAACCACGTATCTCGTTTGCGGTGTTTAAAAATCTACGCTCACATTTTATTTTTTTGAAGTAGACCAAATCAATATCATTCCTTGTTTTCACGGAATTTTCTCCGCACAAAGAGGAAAAATCACAGAAATTTTCAAGACTGGATGTTAAGTAGTTTTTCATTTAAAAAATAAAGTATGACAGGAAGTCTGCGACGTCGCAAACCGAGATACGTGGTTTGGTAGTTTCACCGTCGATACATGGCTAGCCGCTCTGAATGCTCCGTCGAAGCGTCTGACGTACGATATTAGTGGGTCAGCTTGAAAAATGAGGCATTCACCGTTTTGAGAGCTCATGTCAAAACCGCCAAGCCGGCCGGCATCGCATTAGGTGCTAGGCACAACCCTGCACGTTTGTGTGTTCTTGATGAAATTCGTCACCCTGCCTCAACGGGGACTAGATTTAATTCATTTGCCGGCCTCTTTGCGCGCGCATGCGCTAAATTTCTCGCCTTCCTCCCAGGTTCTAATTGGAAACCCAATTTTCTGCGTCGTACGCTCGGATAAAATAATTGAGGCGTCTAGTTCCAAAACCGACCATCTTCGTTGCTTTGTGTATATGTTATTGCACGGTATCAATTTAATTTAATATTGCGAAAATGTGGCTGTCCACGGGAATGAGTACCTCCAGCACCGAAAAAGTCAAATAATAGTAACAAATGCGACGAACGCCAGTTCCGATGCACGACGTCTCCGACCGTCCGTAATAGTCTAATCAGTATACCACTCAGGGTGTCTACCGAAATTTCGTTTGCGGATTTTCCTTATATTTTCCTGATTTTCTCTGACATTTTAAAAAAAAATTTAATGCTTTTTGACGCGAATAAGTTGACACCCGTTTGACTTCACAAATCAACATCTTTCGTGAATTGAATGAAATGTTTAACTTTTGCATGTGCTGAACTAAATGCTTGACGCTTTTGAAATTTCCTGACTCCAGACTGATTTATCTGATATTTTCCTGATTTTTACTATTCACATCGAATTTCCTGATACTTTCCGGTTTTCACCGACGGCAGCTACCCTGACCGTAATACTATGTTGTTGCATATTGCACTTTTTTTTTTTTTTTTTTTTTTTTTTTTTTTTTTTTTTTTTTTTTTTTATCGGCACTACACAAATTATTTGATTATCTTAAAACTCTTTTGAAAACCGATTATATAGCACTTACTTTCTTATTGTTCTCTACGCGCTATGGCCATATCGAGCGGGCAGGCCGCCCATCTTCAGGTGACTGCATTGGTATGGAAAAGATCACAAATCCGGCGTGATAGCCGCGCCGGCGCAGTTATTATCGCGGCTCTCGTCCTCTCGATCAGCTAATTTCCTTTCAGATGTTTTCACTGCATTCTTCTTGTATGAACTGAGTAAGATTGGCGGTGTTGTCAATGTCGTCACATAGCTCTCTAATTGAGTGTTAAGGAGCTCTTCATTTTTATGACGGTCTATTTCTAATTGTTCGAGTAAATTTAATTTTTTGCCTTTATTACACTCTCTAATTAGGTTTACTTTGCACTAATCTGGGTTGCAATTAGAGTCTCTCAGGTGGTCTGATATCAAGGAATGATTTTTCCATACCAATGCAGTCACCTGCAGATGAGCGGCCAGTCCGCTCGAAATGGTCATAGTGCGTAGAGAATAAGAAAGTAAGTAGAGTATAAGAAAGTAAGTGTTGTATAATCGGTTTTCAAAAAAGTTTTAAGTTAATAAAATAACTGAGCGTAATACTTAAGCTTGTCGCAGATTGGGAGGGGGAGGGGGTGTAGCGACCTTTTAGCGTGAAAGGAGTGCTGAACAATAGCCAACAAAAACTCGCCGAGTAAATTTACATTAGGAACTCCACTGACTGAACATACATCTTCTGTTGCAGGTTCCCGAAAGGATCTACGCCATGAACTCGAGCATTAAATTACTGCTAATCGTTCGGGAGCCGGTGACGCGAGCCATCTCGGATTACACGCAACTGCGGGCGAACGCGGCGACGGCGCCATCTAGCGGGCCGCCCAAGAGCTTCGAGCAGCTGGCCCTCCACGCGGACGGGAGCGTGAACGCCTTCTACCGGCCGATCGCCGTGTCCGTGTACCACTGGTACATACACCGGTGGCTCGAGGTGTTCTCCCGGCAGCAGCTCCTCATCGTCAACGGGGACCGGCTCATCGAGGACCCGGTCTCGGAGCTGCAGCGGATCGAGCAGTTCCTCGAGCTGGAGCCGAAGATCAGCAGGAGCAACTTCTACTTCAACCAGACCAAGGGCTTCTACTGTCTCCGCAACGAGACGACGGACAAGTGTCTGAGGGAGAGCAAGGGTCGCAAGCACCCCAGAGTCAACCCGGCCGTCATCAACAAGCTGAGGCAGTTCTTCAGCGAACATAATCAAAAGTTCTACGAGCTAATTGGAGAGGATTTAGGTTGGCCGGATAGTTAGGTGTTCCGAGAGAGGTTCTCCTTTCCGTTCTAAACGTGCCTCAATCCGTATTGTTGTCATTATGTTTTCCTTCCTTTTTTATCTAGGATACTTCGGCGTTTCCCAGACGAAGGGACGGAACTCCATTCCCAGGTTGCAAAATTGACTCGAAAAATTTAATTTTTTGCAGGAATGTACCTGTGCAATCAGTGCGTTCGAAACCCACCTCCGAGTTTCAGGAGCCATGTGGCGCATCAAGCTCGACTTTTAGGGGCCAGATGGACTCTTTGCCTATCTATCATGGCGGATTTAGTGAAGAGTTAGATTCAAGATGTTTTAGATACAGAACTAGTGACTGTATAACCTGGGGGAAATCTCGAAAAATCACCAAACAAATAATTAGGTTGTTTTTTTTTTGGGGGGGGGGGGGAGAGCCTTCTTTTTTTAGGCGCCATGACCGATTTCTTAGGCGCATTTGGCGCGTTGGCGCCTGTGAGTTTCGAACACTGTGTGCAATTTTGGTCCAAAATTTTTCTGATTTTTGCATGAGATCTGAAGAAAAATCGGTGAAATTCACAGTTCAAGATGCCCAAGATTCTCCAAGAAAAACACATATTGCTAGGGGAAATTTGGCAACATTGAAATGTAGTTACGTTCTTTCGCAAGGAGAACGACGACTCAGCAAACTTTCCGTAAAACTGTAATCATTTGTAATTTCCTTACAAGTCGATTTGTACCCTCATGACATTTAAATCGAGTTTTGGATACCTCTGGGTGAACAAACAACTATCTGTAGATCCACCAGCGGGCTGATTATTGACTTCGATAGACAAAGCGAAGGAAAAAGAGGGCGACGGGAAAATGGCGCGATCCTATTCGTTAAAAGGGGTGGTTTTATATGGTATAGAACGAGGGGTGAAATGATGGAGTAACTACTGAGTCCCTCGTCGGTTGCCGTTATTTAGCCAATTACCTATCCTCTTTGTCCATTACAACCACCGACTTTCACCAATAGGATTGCTCCATTTTCTCTTTGTCTTGTTTGTCTATTGCTTTGTCTATCGATTTCAATAATCATCCCGCTGCAGGTTGTCTAAAAAGAATACATACTTTTACTTAATCCCGAGAGGAGAATTTCGGGAGCATGGCCTAACGTTCTTTAAACTTTTTTTTCTTTTATTTTCTTTTCAGTAGATCAGAGAAGTGAATGAATATGCACCACTGGATTCTAAAATTTAAGAACAAAAAATTATTTTCTCCTGAAATCTTCTCAGAGAAAAACTATTATCCAATAAAAACACTGCGACAGCTTAAAGTTAGTAATTGAAAGAACTATGGCTGAGAAAAAAAACTTTTAAAAACTAAATCTTCCATTTGTGAGAGATTTTAAATTGTGTGATCAAAGTGCAACATCATTACCTCTTCTTTTATTTCAGGAAATAACATAATCCAATCACAATTTATTTTTTGCCCTCTGTTCACACTCAAACGCCTATTCATCGGCCAAACTAGACAAAAACGACCCATCAACCTGTAAGTTTTGCAAAAATTAAATTTGAAAAAATACCGAAACCGCTCTCCTCGTGGACGACCACTGTATTGTGACCACTGTATTGTGGTCACAATACAATGCGTGTGTCTGTTACGTATAAGTACTTCTCTTGCCGTAGTTTCTCACGTTTCATTTGCTATCAGCCTCAAGTCTTTCATCTCTCTGAGCCTAATGTTTAACTGAGTCGAACATGTCCAAATGTTCCATTTTTCGGCGCCCTGTTGTTACACCTCCTCTTATATCCTGATGCTAACCTAAATTAACTCCAATTGTGCCTCAATAATTTTGTTAGGTAGTTATCTCATTCGCTGATTTTCAGCTCTCTCAGAATGTACCATTCTTTGTTTTACCACTTGAACATCTTTATTGTGTGATTCATGTTTTGTAGCCTCAAAGAATCCGACGCTTTACTATTTCCCTTCTCCAGAAACAATCACAATTTTAGAATGGGTTCCAAAAACTCATTGTCCAACCGATGATCAGTTCACAGTACATTAGTGGCTTTTTAAAAACATCATGGATGAATTCAAAATTTTGCCTTTAAAAATAAAATAGATCAATGGTCAAAGTGTGAAACCACGTATCTCCTTTTGCGACGTTGCTGCCTTCTTTATCATATTTTATTTTTTCTTTGGGAAAGCTATATCTAGTCAATGTTATGTCTAGTCAACTTCTCTGATTTGTCTTCTCTGTTCGTAAAATATTTGTATGAATTTCAGGCTCTAAAGTTAGCTTGTTTCTCTTCGAAAAAATAAAGTAGGAGCGGAAATTGTAAAACGCTGCAATAGAGATACATAGTTGTGCACTTTGGCCATAGATATATGACAATGCCCTGATTATCTGACGCTTTGGAATAAGGGCCGCGTCCTAACGAAAAAGTCGGATGAGAAACCACCTAAAAAAAGACTGAAAAAGTGTCATTTCAGACCCTGCATGTTTGTAACTGAAAACACGGGCTTGGCTAATTTTCTCGTATTCGTAAAATAGAGTTATCCAAACGGAGAAAAAACACAGAAAACCAAATGCATATTTGGTTTTGAATATTTTTGGTGAACTAAATTGTCGTTTCTAATGTATATACTTACATTCAATGTTTGGCCAAAAACTTGTTTTCGTTTTGTCGGCTAGTTTATCTTTGATCAAAAGCTTAATTTTGACTACACAGGATAATGTGGTCGGAATATCGGGGGATTTTCGCAGTTCAATTCAGGGAACATGAAATTTTCAGCAGCTCAGGTTACTTTTTTTTATTGGCGGATCCAGCAAATTGGCAACACTGTTTTTCTCCATTTAATCCCATGTTTAATGGAGGGAATCCGTTGTTGCCAAATTGCTGGATCCGCCCCTGCTTTTTTCCCTCAGAGGATTGAATTCTTTTTTTCCAGTTTCGAATTTCCTGTCAAAAATGAATCAGGTCGTCACGAAAGTAATACCTACTTTATTCTTACTTAATTCTTTTGTAAAACTTACAACCAAGGAATTCATTAGGTACATATTTACGACCGAAACATTTGGGCCTACTGCTGATTTAACCAGTTTTCAGATGTGTTTCTTTTTCCGATCCATTATTATTAAAGTCAATGTAGCTGTTCTTTTTGCTGATTTTGGCAACGTTGCACATACAGTGATTGATATAAGAATTTTACGACTGTACGTTACGGACATTCTTGCTTTGTTTAACTTAACGTTCTGATTTTTTCACTGTCTACTATCTTATAAGGTGAAAGTTCCTTCTCCGACCAAATTCCATTTCAAAAAAGGAGTACCGGGTTATGTGAGAAAAATGTCGTCGGATTCTTTGACACTTAAGGCAAGCTGTTTATGAAATTGCGGCTACTTTTAACTTTAATCAGTTTTTAAACTTTGCCAATCGTTCCATTGTGAAGTTGTAACTAATACATATCATTTTATCATATCAGTTTAAGTTTAAGATTAAGACGTAACTCAAACATATCATATTTTATTGTTAAAATTTACTTACAAGTTGACCGTAATTTTTTTATCGTGTATGTGCAATTGATTTTTTTTCCTATTGAAATTTTTTTTGTATAATGATTAGAAGTTAAAAGATTAATGAGCATTATTGTACAGAAGTTAAATTTTATTTCTGAATCGATATTTTACTACACATCTTTTCATTTAGTATTACTATGGAGACATACTTTGCCCAGCATTTTTACTTTTTTGTTTTTGTGCGCCGGTCTTGGCCGGGAAATAACTTTTGAGGAAATTTCCCGGATAACACTTATGAAATTTTGATGTCATCATCGGGAAAAATATCACGTACGTACCATGAGAATCATTTTTAAACTATTTTTTGACACACTCAATCACTAGTTGTCTGTAAAGATAGGTTTTCTATGTTGTCGTGCCAAGGAAGAACGCTGTATGAACATTCGAGAGTTGCCAAATTTCTTTCGATAAAATGTTCTTTTTTTAAGGAAAGTTATGGATATTTTTCTATGAAATTTTCAGAAACTTCAGGTAAAATTGCAAACAACATTCTCTGAAAAATTGGACGAAAAATATTTTTAAGTTTACCCGGAAATTCAAGTTTTATCAATCGGAATTTGGCAACGCCCGAAAGTTTATACGGCGTTTTTCCTTAGCACGGCAGTATGTGTGGACTCCCGACCCACATCTCAAGCACAGAAACCTGCAAGTTTTGATGTCTTTAGTCTTAACTTTTATTTATTTTTCGCTTCTTGTTTTCAGGGGACACAAACGCAATTTACCCATTTGGGGAGCTCTAAATTTTCAGTTAACGCGCTTCTCAAGATATTAAAGTCAGATTGCTCACACCAATGCGATGATTTGCTGTTTCCCGTATGAAGGACCGTAACTCCATTCCAAGGTTGCAAAATTGACTCTGACAATTTTATATCTACAGGAATTTATACTTGTGCACTCTTTGACAAAAACTTTTCCGATTTTTGTATGAGATTGGAAGAAAAATCATTGAAATTTTTAGTCAGGAAAGACTAAGATTCTTCTAGTGAAAACTCTATGCGAACGGAAATTTTGCAACATTGAAATTTAGTTACGTTCTTTCAAGAGGGAAGCTGCGAATTCTTCAAGAGGCCTCGGATTACACCCCCTTTTCTGACTTCATTTTTATATTTTATAAATACAAATCGTTGCTCTTCTACAAATGCTCAATGAGAGTTTTGATGAGAGAAAAGTGAATATGCTCATTGACCATGAAAATTTATTGACTTAGCAACAAAAACTGCAGGTTTCAAAAGCATGCTTAGGTGTTTAAATTGCACAAGTAGAAATCACTTGGCATGCTCAATAGCATTTCCAAGTGGAAAAAATTCTCCTGTTCAGCCGAGTTCATTCCTCGTTAATTTGGAAAGAAATCAAAAGGATCTCTCCAATTCATCAGGTTCTCGCAGGACAAAGTGATGCCTTGCCATCTGTGTGCGACAGTTTCAAAAAATGCTCCCATGAAAATGTGCAAAGAAGCCACTCATCAATTTACGAAACGCTTTTTCTGAATTTTTGGAGTCATTTCCCTTGGGAGGTTCATAATATCAACACTAACCCTACCGTATCAACTACTTGGTGTAATTCTGCCTCTAAATTTACTAAAACGGTTATCGTCACGAAATAATCACGCAATTTTCTTTTTAACTTGGATCATGCAATTGCATCAAAGTACGCCTTGTAATTCAAGCATTTTCTTTTTAACTATTTGTAGTATTGAAACCGAAAACGAAGTATTTTTGGTCATAATTTTTGCTGAAAATGGCAGGAACACGTGAACTTTTTTACTTCAGGTTCTTAACATTCAATTGCCTAAAATGTTAATTTCTCATCGAGAAAAATTCC